CGGTTCAAACTGAGCCGCGCCGTAATTCACCACACAAAGGCGAACAAAGACGCAGCTCCCCTCGGGCCTCTTTATCTTTCTTGCTTTAACTGAGCCACTCCATCAAAGCGCGGCGTCTTGAACTGAAGCGCCGTGTCGTTTTAATTTTCCCTCATTACCTTTTATGTAACTTAGCGGCTCTCCGACGGGAGACCAGTCAGTTTTAAGATGAAAATGAAAGAGTCGCTCGGGGTAAGACATTAAAACGAGAACGGCTCACAGAGCGGCGCTTTGCTAACAACAACGTCTGCCAAGGGTTTTTGACCTTTGACCTCTCAGATGGGAGACGTGTTAGAAAAAGAAAACAACTGAATATTATTCTTTTTTCTTTTAATTTCCTCCAAGAAATATGAAGCATTTGATGTTTGCACAGCCCTGATGGTCCCGGGATATCATTTTAGTCATTTGGGCTTTGACTAGGCTTTTGCAGCACATTCATTCTTTCACTTTTCCACCATTCTGTTGTAGATCTGATGCTAATTGGGACCGTTGTCCCGTTTATGACTCAGTTTGCATATGACTTTTTCCACATTTGATTCTGGAAATGATTCATCTCCTCCAGCAACCCGGAACCGAAACGATATTTTAGTGAACTGATGAATCGATTTTCTTTAATTATCAAAGATCAACGATCGGCCGATACCTGCATGAGAAACTGATTTTATCTGAAAATCAGCCGCTGATTTTCAGATAAACCGAACAATTTATCAGACAAAAGAATTGGTGTCATCAGGTCAGGCTGATACTGACTGGCTTGAAACGGCAATCGGTCCTACAATCTTAAAAATATACATAACTTACCAGATTTTACAATTTATCATTTTATAAAATGTAATATTTTATTAATTTATGATGAACTAGAATTTGAAGTAGAAAAATCCCAAAGAAAACATAAAAATAAAATAAAAATTGTCTTAAATGGACTGTTTTTATGAAGAAGCAAATTATTGGTGGCCTAATTTTTAAGTATTAATTCTAATTTAATCACTAAAAAAATATTTTTTGTACCATTAGTGTCATTTTCGTGTTAAAAACAGAAAATGAGCTTAAACTTTTGTATTTAGAAACTCTGCTCTCTGGCCAAAGTTGTTCAGAACCACAGTGGACCGTCTGCAGACCCACATGCGGTTCTGCTGGTCTGAACTGGACATTTTTATCTTTTACTGGTGAACCTCAGGATGGAGGGAGCTCTATGGAAAACAGGATGCTCTAACAGTTTTCTACCTTAAAACTAATTTTGGTTCATATATAGCCGTCCGTGTTTAATCTGTTAATAAAACAGAAATAATTTTAAAAGTTTCCATCAACGTTCTCCTCTCTGCAGCTCTGCTCTTCATCCAGACGCTGATTGTGGCGTCGATTCGCTTGGCGGCAGAGAGACTCCGGCGCGTCGCTGCTGGTCAGGAGCTGATCTGGATTTGAACCCATAACCTTCAAATCAGATGAAGTTATGATCCATAAACCGGTAAAGTTCCCTGATGCTGATCGCTGAGGGAAATTTGATGATGATTATTTTTATGGCTGCAGGTCTGGTTTTATTGACCCACAAAGCAGCTGATGATGTCAGACGACGCCGGGTTTTATTTAGGCCAGAGCAGGACTAAAACCATCAGGAGCACGAGGAGAAACGCTCACCAGAGAGAGAAAAGGTGAAGAAAGAGAAACGTGGAGATACACGACTCTGTCCAGCTTCAGATTTCCAATCAGAACATTTTCCACTGAAGCAGCTCAGAATCAGCAACTGGAAAATCTGGATCAGTGGATCTTATCTGGGCGGATCCACATCAATCTGGATCAGTGGATCTTATCTGGGCGGATCCACATCAATCTGGATCAGTGGATCTTATCTGGGCGGATCCACATCAATCTGGATCAGTGGATCTTATCTGAGCGGATCCACATCATCAAACCGACTACAAATAAAGGCCTGAAATATTTCATATGTGCAAAGAGAACCCACAAAATAACATTTTTACTTATGGAAAAAATACGGAACTTTTTTCAAAACATTTTTAACCAAATTATAATTTTAAACATGCATGAATTTGAGAAAAAATTTAATAGGAAACTGAAGATGGCAGAGACCAGAAAGTGTTTGTTAACCCAGATTTTCCTGATTCTCTTCTTTACACAAAAAACCCGAGAGCTAAACGACAGATACAAAATAATGAAACCAGCAACTGAAACTGTAAAAACTGAATATTTTTAATGTCAGGGTTATCAGAGGGGTGATGATGATTAATTAGGGACGTTAATGAAGCACATGTTCACTTTAAACTGGCAACTTATTGGAAAAACCAATAAAAAACACACCAACGGCCTGTAAAGCTCAGCATGTTGACCAGCTGTGAGTTTCTCTGAGTTAAACACAAAGTTTACCTTTTTAAAACATTTGAAACGGTTTGAAGCCTGGACCGGTTTCTTCATAATGTCAACTTTATTTTTCAAAAATTGTGGCTTTTATAGTTTCTAAGTTTCTGATCCTGTTTTTCTCCTGACATGCGAGATCAGGTAACCTTTTATTTTTTAATAAGAGTTATACAAACACAAACAAAAACCACCAAACTTTTCCTGCTCTCGCCTGTAAGCCGCTCCTCTGCCGGCGATCAGCCACCTGCGGCTGATTGTCGGGCAGATGAGGCTGCAGGCCGAACGGCGGTGAAGCCCAGGACCTTCTGGAGCAAATTATTAAAGACTCAGCTGCTCATAAAGCTGCAGGCTCCATGTCCGGCGCTTCCTGGTTATCGGAGCAGATCGGAGCCGTGTTGGTGGGCCTCGTTCAGGTGGGCTCCTGTTACAGGAAGCAGCAGGCACTCGGCTCCTGACGTCAGCCGCTTTAGTTACGTCAAGCCGTAAACGTATTTTACCAGGAGATACAAGATAAAACTGGCTGCAGGATGATTCCCCCCAAAAAGAAAAGAAAATTCAGTTCAGATTCGGTTTTTCTTTATATAGAACCAAAACAGCAGCGTTTACCAGCAGGTTCAATGCAGCTATATGGATTAAACTATGATCCAAATTCAGTTCTGATCAGTTCATCACCATTAACAAAAGTTATGTAGTCACATTTAATCCCAACAGCAAAATGCAATCACTTCCCATTATTCACAATAGTGCACTGAACACTGTATGTAATTTGTAATTACTTATTGTGTAATTTAATTGGTTGTTATTTATTCACCACTTAAATAAATCTTGTATCACTGGATAAATATGCAATATCCAGTTTCTATGAATTTTAAAAATTACACATCTTAAAACTCTGTTGTAGTAAATTACATCAAACCCAAAATTACAAATAAGTTTTTTTTTACTCATATCTATTCTGGTATTTCAGACATGAATAATCAGAAAGCTGATTTACTGAGTTTATCTTCCAAAATCCTTCATCACTCTCCAGATCCAGGGAGCAAAACACGTCTACTGGGGTCTTCAGCACAGCAGGACTGAGCATCGAAGAGCTTTTGGGGAAAATCTGCGCCATCTTAGCTGCACTAACAGCAAAGCAGGATCGATGCTTATTTACGACACCCGTCCAAAAGGCAGCGATCAGGATTCATCCATTTGTGTCTCACTGGGAGGAGACATCAGAGCGCCACGGCTTCCCCTGAATGAGCTGGAAAATGTCGCCGGTTGGAGGAATTTTCTACTTCTGAAGTTTAAAGGATCTTTGCCGAAAGTTTCCAGATGAAACTGTTTGCTGCTCCTCAGCTGAACCAGACAGAAGTAAACAAAGTAAACATCAGCCTGGACCTCAGCGCTGCGTGGCCCCATCAGCCTGGACCTGTGGCTCTGGGTGTTTTTGCTCCTGACCTGATTGGAGTGCCAGGGATCGCCGGAGGAGACCGAAGCCCTTCCTGCTCCTCGCGACCTTTCGCGACCTCTCGCTGCACGGATTCTGTTAAAAGCCTCCAAATCCGCCCGTCATTAGCAAAGCGCCGAGCTCTTCTCTGATTGCTTTCGTGACCAAAAATTAAAAAAAGATTTGATCCATAACATGTCACTATGAAAATCTGGACTAAACAGTTTGGAGTCGTCTGTGTTTTCCACCACGGGCAACACGTTTACTGGGAGTTAGAAATGGGAATCTCTGGCTCCCAGTTTCTGTCAGTCTAGTTGTACAGCCATGTGACCGACCTGGGGTCCGTCCCGGGTTGGTCCATGTGACCCGGTTGGTCCATGTGACCCGGTTGGTCCATCCCGTCTCCAGGCCCAGATGATGAACTGATCAGAGATGTTCAAAGCTTGGGATGCTTTAAACTTCTTCACTGCAAAAACACAAAAATCTGAACTTCTCATCAGAGAGGTCAAAGGTCACATGTGGTGTACCCCAAGGTTCAATCCTAGGACCACTTCTTTTCAATATTTATATGCTCCCACTGGCTCAGGTTATAACAGGAAATAAGATCAGCTACCAGAACTATGCGGATGATACACAGCTCTGTTCTAAGCATCTATTCAGTGATTGGATGGGGTCAAAGGTCACCTGGTGACATCGTGATGTAGAGCTGTGTATCATCCGCGTAGTTATGGTAGCTAATCTTATTTCCTGTTATAACCTGAGCCAGTGGGAATCGAACTCTTGTCCTACAAACCTCAGTCTGGCTTTGGTTGACGTGAACTCTGGTTCGGTTTAAATGCATATGTCCAAAAGCAGGAAGTGGACTACAGCACAGGGCATTCTGGGTAAAGACAACCAAAACAAACGTGCTAGCCTAACGCTAGCAGGAGAAGTGACTCGTCTTTTACCAAAGACAAAAGAGAAATCCTCCAAGTGTTAAATCGGATGCCACCACATTCCTGAAGAAAGAAGTTGCTCTCAGCGTCTTCAGAGGTTTTCATGTCATTTCCTTCAGTGGTTCTTGCTGCAGCGCCCCCACAGGCCAGGAGGGGAACAGGTTGCTCAGAGGTTTTGGTTGGTTTGACTGAGAGCCGAGGGAAAAAGAACCACAGCAGCTGGAGATGGAGCAGGTGATGTGTATTTATGGAGAACCAAGAAATGCTGAATATAGGAAGAAAGATCAACCCAAGGCTTTTCTTTAAAAGAAAATATAGAAACGGTAATTCACTTTTCTCCTCAGTTTTATAAAGAAACTGTCGTGCAGCTCCACACTGATCTTGACATCGTGTTGTTGTGCTTCTTCCGGATGAATCTGCACATTAATCCGATGTCTGAGGCATACAGCCTCTCTATGTGGTCAGGTTCAAGAGCGAAGCGCAAACTGCTGAAGCCCAGGCGTCATGGAAAATGTTGGAAGGTCATCTATGTGTCGTTAATTACAGCATGAATCAACTTTCTCATGAAATGTCACCGTTGGTTGGTGAGCGTTCAGTTAAACCCCCGGTGGGTTCAGACTTGTTCATGTCACTGATTCAGAGCCACTTGTATCTGCGGGAGTCCGCTGTCTGCGCCGCCGCTGCCTCATTAAGCATGCTGCTGCCTCTGTTCAAAGAAGAAGATTGTTCCCCAGCAGATCGTCCTGCTGTACGGCTCCATGTAAACATCAGTGGATGAGGGAAGAACAGCAGGATGTACAGAGTCGAACCCACGACCAATGAAAGACGTCAGCCTAATTAGAGAGACCAGCGTGAGATTCTTTTAGAATCAGGATGTTTCCCCAAAACTAAAAAACATGATATAAACATCATCTTACTGCTTTTATTCAAAACAACCTCATTATGAGAGAGCCATGGCGCTCCTTGGTTTCCAACAGTAAAAATAAAACTCTTCAGACTCGACTTGTTCCCGAAAGACTTGAGATTTGACTTGGACTCGTAGTGAGAGACTCGAATCTAAGCACCAGATTTTATCTCATGTAATAAGTAGTGATACAAAAAGCCTGCATTTCCAATAGGGTAAATATTATATTTGATCAGTAATAATATAATATATTATAAAGATAACCCTTTTTTGTCGTTTTTTGAATTCTGAATATTAGAAGATTAAAACATAACTATTCATAAAAATTAAGGGATTTAAAGATAATAAAATGTTAATGTAAGTTTGGTAAAAGGACAAACAGCTCTTTGGCCTAAAATAACTATTTGTCTTTTAGGTCCGAACCTGGACTATTTGGATTCAAGTCTGTGACTTGACTTGAAAAATTTACTTATGAACATCTGCAGAAACCACAGCCGGGGCTATAACATGTTAAATTTGATTAATTAATTACATAGATTTTAACACATTAAAGATGTTAGCGCAGTTAATCACTTATTTTTAGTTTCTTTTACATTCAAATGTCCCAATCCGGAACCTTTGTATTCACGTTTCTGGTACAGCCATAAATCTGACGTACAAGAAGTAAAAATCCCGCTAACGGTGAAGGAAGACGGAGCCGCTTTTCTCGGCCCACTCGGGATTAATTTCTGCTTCTAAACGGATCTGACTGGACGCTGGAAAAGACAGTTGTCGTGTTCAAGTTGTGCTAACGCGAGTTAGTATATCAGTGAAGCTATTTAAGTCTAAACTAGCATCTCAATGCTAAACATGTAGCAGCTAATGCTAACATCAACGGTCAATCATCAGTTATTTCTGAAACACTGAATGGATAGAATAACACTTTGCTTCAATCTGATGGTTTGATTATATAAATAAATGATTAACACAGTAAATATCTTTGTTCTTAAGCTCAGACATCTATTCTATAATTTAGCAGCAAAAAGCATCAGTTTTTCAATTAAATTGCGATTAATTAATTACAGGCTCTGTAATTATACCAAATACTAAAGAAATAAATGGAAACTTATAAGTTTAAAAGAACGTTTTTAATTAAACCTCTCATTACTCTTGAAGAAATATCCTGATAAAACAGAAAAAGTTTAGTCTGATTTGAATTCAGAAGCGAAGAAAACATCTTTAGTGAAAATTAATGTTTAGTTTCAGCTGCAGATCCTAAAGCCGTCTAATATCGTCTCCAGTTTCTTATTCTGGCTGCAGTCTGCTTTACAATCAGAAGTCCTGGACTGAATCAGCATTCATCATGTCGGACCAATCAAGACTCAATATTGATTCTGCTGCTTTAATAACAACATCAGAGAGCTGAGTCACCCAGCGGCTGGAATAAACGCTTCATCATCTGGCACTGCATGCTGAACTCAACGCTCGCCCCCTAACCACTGGAATCACGATGTCAGGAAGTAGTTCTGATTCGTTCATCAGGCAGAAAAGATGATCACATTACCAGAGTCACTGTTTGACTGCACAACCGGCCCAGGAAGGGAAAACTGGGAAAGATGAGTTTGACTCGTCTCAGCTGAAGGTTCGAAACCAGCAGCTGTTTATTCTGATGGAAATAACCTGCTGAATAATGATAATAATAATAATAAATGCCCTTTAAGAGAAGACAAAGATAACACTTTCCACATTGGAGTTACAATAAAACATGCAACTGCAATATTTCTGATTTTTTAAAGAACTTTGTTCTAGAACATTGAGTTTATTGTGAATTTAGTTTTGTAATCCACATTGTATGAAATTAATAGATTAAAATTAAGAAGCAACTATAGTTTCTGCCCCAAAAATACCTTTTCATACCTTTAATGTGAGTCAGTCAGTGTTTGTGTCTGCAGCATCTTTTCCACATTCCTCCTGCAGATGAGGGAGATGAATGCAGAGCAGCCTGGACAGTAATTAGCTGTAATTAGTCCACAGGCAAACTGGAAAACCTGGAACTGTGGAGTCGGGCTGTAGAACAGACCACAGGACGGCCGGTCGATGCTCCTGATCCAATCAGACTCTTCCTCCCGTCTGACCTGCTGAGACGCCGCTGCGGCTCTGATTAAGGAAGTGACACCTGAAGCGAAGCTCCTGGTGGAGGCTCGGTTCAGCAGCCGCTCCGCTGCTCTGGGTCGCCTGGTGCTGAACCTTTCACTCTGCTGCAGCTGCAGGATGGAACTTTTTATAAAAAACAGGTTTTTTTTTTTACATTTGTTCAAACTGTCAGGATGTCGTTTGTCATGAGACAGACTGTGAAAAGATCTGAAGAAATGCTCCAAAAACAACCAATCAGAGCCAGGAGGTGGGGCTTAGCGCTGTCAATCATCCTCATGTACTCACTGCTAAATGTAATAACGGCAGAGAAACAACTTATCGTCACAGGAAAACTGTCTGTGCGTCATCTGTGGCCAAGTAGTGGCTAATTAGCATTCAGTTAGCATGCATGCTAACTAGCCTGAGCATTCTCAGCTAGTCTGCTATGCTGCTAGCTGGAGAGCACAAAGAGGGAGGGGGATTATTTATTTGTTTCAGACATTTGAAGGAAAAATCTGTATAAATATTTTAGGAACTAACTGCTTATTGGATGGAAATCTGGAAAGTAAAGCGATGATGGTGGTTTAATTTAAGCAAACTGCTCATGCTGTGAGGTTTAACACACACACACTCCACCCTGTGGGTAAAGCGTAAATTTGGGTTGAGGAGGCAGATTGAGAGCAGCAGACGGCTGCAGGACAGCCCAGTTTTCTTGCTGGGGTCGTTTCATTTAACCTCCTGTCACCGAGTCCCTGCAAGGCGCCGCGTTAGCGAGAACGGCGCTCCGCAGAGAAGCATCAGACCAGCTCAACATATTCACTCAGTTCTGGGTTTTCAGAGTAAAACTCACGAATCGGGTTTGGATGTTATGTCCTGAAAGATATTTATGTATATTCTTGCTTGCAGAGTTTGTGAGAATCTCAGTGCAGGATCAGTCTGACTGATGCTGAACAGAGACGCCTCACAGCAGAGCATCTGCAGACCGGATCTAACCACAGCAAAAACACAAACAGTCGTCTCCAAATGTTATTTACTTCATATCAGTGAAACTTCCAGATCTTTGTCCTAAGAAGCAAAAACTATCAGATTTATTGGTAGAGAAGCAAAAGGCAAACAGTTCAATTATCTGTACAGCGCCGATACAGAAGAAATGTTGTTACAAAATGTAATTTAATTCAATAATATTCCAATTATCCTAGTTGTCAAACAGCACGTTAAGCTTAGATTATAGTTAAATTAGTTTAAAAAGTTTCTGCATGCAGAGTTAGAGCTTTCATATTTGTATAGCAGATTTCAGCAACACAGCAGCTCCAAGTGCTTTAAACCATCAAACAATAACCATTTATAAAACAATAAACAATACATTTGGTAAAAAGCCATAATAAAAACCAAGCAAATAAATACAGGTGAAATACACTGATTAATGTCAGAGTTCACCCTGATCTCTGGTGGAAGCGGCATGTTGACTCTAGATCTGTAACTCTAGATTGTTCTGTTTCTGTTCAGCTGGAGAAAGTTCTGGTACCTCCACAAGCATCTGTTCTGTGATTGGATGGCTCAGGGTCACCTGGTGACATCAGCAGAGTATCGCCTAGGAAACAAACAGAACCAGAAAATGGAGGCAAACACAAACCACAACCCAAATGTTCAACACAAGAACCAGAATTACAGCTTAACTCAAACACCAAGAAAACAGAGTTAAAAAAATGTCTAAAAGGAAAAACCCTGCCAAGTTAATTTAATCTCCACTGTGGATGGTTCCCATGGCAACACACTTATTTTAAACATTTCAGCCTTAAAGGTTACGCACACAAAGCAGATAATATTAGCTGGTGAGCATCATGAAGTTTTTACATGCCTCTAGATCTGCGTGTTATAGAAGTGACTGCTTGTTTGGTGATCTGAAATTCAAGACGAGTTTCAGCTCAATTAATTTAAATGCTTCAACCCACCTGAATGAAACGATGGAGTTACGTCCCCATCCAGTCTGAGGAGGCCGAGGAGCCATTCGTTTGGTTCAGGTGTGTTGGAGCGAGGCTGCACCAAAACTCAGTCTAAATATGATCATAAACTGCTCTGTGAGTTGGCAAGAGAAATCTCCACAGCGTTCATCGGATCTTTAATAATGTCAAAGCTTTGAGTCGCATTAATCCCGTTAGAGGTCAAATATTTACCAGGTTCCAGCTGGTGAAGCTGTGTTTTGTGTTTTCTATGGTGTCTCAGTGGACACCAGCATGAAGGGCCTTGTTCTGCAGTCCTTATCCTCCCTGAACACATTTAATGGACTCAGAGCCAGGAGCGGCCGGCCGTGTTCTGGTGCCATCCGTCCTCGGTGGCGGCTGCTGACCCATGGCCCGTGTCAGTAAACACATCATCCTCAATCTGCCGCGCTGTCACCTGGCTCAGGTCGGTGGAGGATTCTCCAGCTTCACTCCGTCCTCTGACGGAAACGGACGCTAAAACCTTAATGTAACTTCAGTTTTACCATAGATGATTCAGACGGAGCTGAACGTACGTCACAGCAAGATCAGGAGAGTTTTAGGGGGATTTGAGGAATATTTTATCAACTCAGTCTTTGTCTCATCCAGGTCTGGACTGGGAATCTGTCCACTGTGGAGACGTCCAGTCAGTGTCAGCTAACTGTGGGCTAACAGTTGGCTAACTCTGAGCTAAGTGTGAGCTAACTGTGGGCTAGCTGTCAGCTAACTGTGGGCCAACAGTTGGCTAACTCTGAGCTAACTGTGAGCTAGCAGTCTGCTAACGTTAGCAGTGAGTAGAGACTTCTACAGAAAAAGCACTTTGAGCCTCAAACCCAGATCCCAGCAGCAGCTCAGAGTCTTAAACGCTGAAGAAACCATCAGTCAGTGAGATTGACAGGACAGACAAGGAATCAAAATACATAAATTATAAAATACCAAAACATATTAAGTATTAAAATCTCCAGCTACTGTCTAGTCTTTGAGACGACTTTATTTCTACAGCTGGACAGAGAATGACCGCACTAAACCGTAAAGTTTAAACCGTAAAGTTTAACGAGACGACAGGAGGCGAAACGAAGCAACTTTCTCCCAACAGGTGGAGCAGAGAAAATCTGTTGGAGCAGAGGGTCCAACTGGGTAGATGTGGTCATGTCTACTATAAATTAAAGGTATGTTGTTATTAATACATCAATGCTTCGTTTTGTACCCAACATTTAAGTTGTGTGAAGATTTTAATTTGTTGGGAACAATTTAGCCAGAAATAAAGAAAAAGGAGAAATCCTTCATTCCCAAAAGATTTACTTTCTAAAGTGGAGCATTCCAGTTTTCACCATGATGCTTCACCTTATATACATACATAAAACTTTATCAGAAAATGCTTTGGGTTTATTTCAAATGTAATGGACATGGAGACGAAAAAGAAAGAGAGAGGTTTGAAGGGAAGAAAGAGTGGAGAGAAAGGAGGACAGAGAGCATGAGTCAGTAGAGTGTGAATCTGAACACCTGTGTGTGTGAAATAAACAGAATGGTATGTTCTCTTATGTTTCCCAGTTTGAAGAGCAATGAGGCTCATGAACACGTTGGCCTCTGCAGCATATCAACACTTTAGCACATTAAATAATGAATCTGCTGATGAAGATGGGAGTTTAAAGCTATTTCAGGTGATCTGTGTGTGTGTGTCTGTGTGTGTGTGTGTGTGTGCTCCCATTTGCTCCTCTGAAGTAACTGGGGTGTGAAACAGAGTTAAAGGATCAGTTCTGCTAATGCATCAATCAGAGTTAATGGCTTCGGCAGACAGAACGTTTTCTTTCTGCTTCTGACTGGATTTTTATTCCATTCAGCGAAAATTAAAACAAACAAAACTTTAAAACAAACATAACCAAACAACAAAATGAACATCTGACTGAGAAAAACCCATGAAGAAGAACGCTCCCCGATCAGAACCACCAGGCTGGATCTGATTTGTCTTTTCCTGCTGCTGCTTTCTGACTTCATTTATTTTTCCTGGTGATTTTATAAAGTATTAATAGGAATTCCTAAAACTGCTCGAATCAGGTTTGAATGTTTACCAGACAGGTTTTTTTTAAGTAACTCGCCTCTTTCTGAAGAAGTGAGACCTTTCGCTTGTGAACTTCTTTTATTTATGGGAGGAATAAATCTTGCAGCAGCAGGAATCCTTTGAGAAACACACTTCTGGCTTAAATATTTCATCACCACCTGATTTTTCTCGGGTTTCTTGAGTTTTTCAAGTGAAGCAGTAATGTGAGAATCTGCCTGGATCTCCTCGGTTTAATTTATAACTTTAGTTTTGTATTTTAAAGAACTCATCCATAAAGCCATTATATCAGCATAATGTCTGCACTGAGGCTGAAACCTGAGTGTTGCTGCAGACAGTTTGGTGAAGGAGAGGGAATCCTGGATGTGTGTGTGTGTGTGTGTGTGTGTGTGTGTGGTCTGGGCAGATATTCCAGGTCATTTTCTATTTGTGGAAGTGGAACCAGCGCAGTCTGTCTAGACAGTCGGCCGACCCGCCGCCTTCCCGCTGCTCCTGGTGGAAACTCCAAACATCCAGATTCTGGTTTTGGCCTCCAGGCAGAAAGTCGCCTGTTGATGAAAGCAAATCGACTCAAAATGGAAACATTTTGACCAAAAACACAAAGAAAAACAAAGAGTTAAAAGACTCACAATGCAGAAGCCAGTCACAAAGAGAGAGTTTTACTTTTGTTCTAAACTGGTGGCAAACTTCCCACTGATTTGGCATTTTTGATTCATTTTATCATCATTTGTTCAAACAACAAAGCGCCAGCAGCCGATTCACCAAGCAGCCTGGAAAATAAATAAGTTCCCAAAACACAATCCTGGAATCCCAGTCATCTGTTTTTTTTGTCTTCTTCACTCAGTTACAACATCCACACTGAGGCTTGTGGTCAACTTTTTAGCTGATCACAAGCCGACTAATCAGTGCATTGTGTTTTTCAGGCAAGTAAAAACTCGGAAAAAATATATCTAGAGTTTTTACCAATCCAATTATTACAGGGAGAAAGAACAATGTGTTATTATTAATATTAATATTAATGTGATCTTCCATATGATAAATACATTTTAGATTTTAGGGAGCATCATCTTCTTTTTAGATTCAAATAAACACTTTAAGATCTGCTCTTATTTCATTTTTAAGCAGTGTTGAAGTTTAAAACAACTTAAAAGGGAGTTTCTGAGTTAAAATCACTTCTCAGGTTTTGGTCAAACAGGAAGTGAAGGCGGGCAGTGAAGCAGCGATGAGGACATCAGACCTGAATTCATTAACTGATGATAAAAGCTGCATTAGTGCCTGGCTGGCTGCGCCGCATCACTTTTAGATGTGAAGTGACTTCAGGAAACGTCCTGCGATCAGAAACCAGAAAACGCTGTGAGGCTTTAAACAGAGCAAACAGTTCATGAACACGAATGAAACATTCGATTCGTTCTGCAGAATGAGCTCAACATGATCTGATGCCAAAGTGGAAGTAAAACAGAAAACATGCAGAGTTCAGATACTGCAGGTCAGAATCACGTATTTATCCATAAGAGTTCAGGACTGAATGTTTCAGCAAAACTTCGTCTACTCTAAATGAACCAGTTTCATTGGGTGAAATGGATGAAACTGTTTCAGTCCAAAGTGTTCAGAGAACATCTACTGCATATTTCAGTTTCTACCTTTTTATGTTTTCTTCAGAAAATATCTTCAAACGAGCAAAGATTCATGTTTTAATCTGAAACAAAACAATCTTTTTTCTCCTGGTCTGATGCTGCCAGCGTCGGTCAGGCTCTGCTCTGGTGGCCTCCCACTTCTGTTGCAGTTCATTATTCAAACTGGTGAAAAGGTTTCTGTCTAAAGAATCCCAGCAGATTGCTTAAAGTCATGCACCACTCCTGCTGGACCAGCAGGGGGCGACAGCAGGAAATAACTTGCTGTGAGTCACTTTTTAACATCATACCAAACATGCATGTAGCAACAGTAGAGAGGAAAAACTTCCCTTTAGCAGGAGGAAACCTGCAGCAGAACCAGAACCTGCTTCAGTTCCAGCAGCTGCAGAACAAGCCCACCTCACCATTCCTCCACCGCCATGCATCACAAGCTGTTTGTGCTGATACACTATGCTTGGTTTCCTCCAAATAGTGAATCTTTTCAGGTGAGATATTTATTTTTCACAATATGTTTTTGCTAAAATCGAAGTTTCTGGTTGTAAATTGAATCTAAAGCCTGCGTGCCGGGGACATCCGGCCCCTGGCTGTGAGTCTGATTCCCTCTCAGCTGCTCTGGCACGTTGCTCTTGGTGCAGAAGAAGCCGTTAATTATAGCAGGCAGTTCACAGCTTCGATAGCAGTGCCGCGGCGCTCCACGACATCCCAACTGTCAGCTTAATCACAGAGCAGGGCCACGACACCGGCCGCGCCGCGATCGCCTCGTCCCACTCTGCTAAACATGACAGGAATCTGCAGCCTCGTGGCCCAACCTGCTCCAGCAGCTCTGAGTGGAGAAACAGGCAAACTGCTGCAGATGGAGAGGAGCTGACGCTGGTTAGCCCACGGTCACGCTCCTGATGCTGAACATTTCATTTAGTATTGGTGGCTGTTTGCTTGAATTTCATCCTTAGTTTATTTTTGAACCTGCCAAAGTTCAAACACACATCTGTGAAGTGTCCATCTGTTTAATCTGGTTTAATTTGTGTTTTTCTTCATCAGCAAACACAAACTTGGTAGCTGATAAAATGGAGCCATTTGTGAAGCTACAATCAACGATGAACAGCAGGGATTTGAGTCATTCAGCCTGTTAAAAAATGGGGATTCATTTCTCAAAGGCACATTCACCATGTTATTGATTTATATATAAATGTTAGTTTCAAGCAAAATGTTTAATTGATTAAATAAATATTTAGCTCTAAATATTTAGTTAGCATGTTAAATATTTAACCCCATACTAAATAGTTAGCTTCAAGCTAAGTATTTAGCTTGAAGCTAACTATTAAACTAATTAAGATTTAACAGGCTATATTTTAAATATTTAGCTAACAAGTAAAATATGTAGTGTGCAGCTAAATATTTTCAGAGGTAAATTCGTGCCTAACGCAAATTTACTGGGCGATAACCGGAAGTAGACTACCAAAATAAAAGTGTCTTCTGAATAATAACTTCTGCTTTTGAATCACTTCCTGTTACCTCATTATCATCGTTTCTTTTCCCTTTTTCTTGTACAACAATTCAGCTTAAAGCGTGAGCCGTTTTAAAGGCAGCACGTTTACAGATAGAGCAACAGTGATGCGCCGAAGGATTCAGTCTGGAAAAGTAAAACATTTTCAACTTTTGGAAATTCAGAAATTCGAAAGTTTTTCTAGAAAAATTTAGATTTTTTTTTTGCAGAAATGTACTTTTTTTTAAATAAATATATACTAATGGCACTAGCACGCAGTCGTATGTCAGTGATTGTCGTCGTTCCAGATGATTTCCAGGTAAAGCTGTTTGTAGAAAGAAGAGACAGATCAATCTAAAACAGGAAGCAGGAATTTCTGCTGCTGATTTTCAGGATCAAACCGGTGGAGATGCGCCGACACCGACCCTCCACCTGCTAACCGCTGCAGGTGTTGGAGTGGTTCTCCTAGCAGCAGCTGCTGCAGCATCAAGTGCTTCTCTAATGCTGCAGCTGCCACTTGAGCCTGAGATGCTGCTGGAGATGCAGACGTGAGCTGAACGCCGTCAGACCTGCTCTGCAGCGGACGGCTGTGAGCCTCATTACCGGCCCGTTTCTGTCCGCGTTCATGTGAGACATGACGACTTCCTGTCCTACAGAGTCTGGAAAAAACGCGGCTCATTAACCGAGTTCTCCTTCAAACACACTCCCCGCCCAACCGTCCTCAAAAACACACACAGATGGAGTCAGTCTCACTCTGACTGATCTGTGTTGATTGTTCAGTCGCTGTAAACACACGCTGGTGGATTTACGCTCCACACAGATGGAGAACTCAATATTTTAGGAATTTGTTGTGAGACTTTGTTGTTTCTTTCCCTGCATAAATACAGTAAGTGGAAATTCATTCAGCTGAGTGGAAATTATATTTCCTCTCTGAATGAAGCCATTCATCGCTCCTTCCTTCAATCTAACCTGAAGAAAACTGTTGCATTATTCAGTTTCAGTTCATTTATATTGACCCAAATCATAACAAAACCACTTCATACCGAGTCCAATCATGTAGATTCAATTACATACGGTTCATTCCTGTGTAAGTTATTACACAATACAATTATAGTCAATCATTATTGATGAATTATGGTGAAAAATATCTGTATGTGACATTGAGTGTCTTCAGTCAGAGGTTTCTTCAGATTGGCTGGAATACAAACTGCTACAGGAGATCCTAAACATACTTTTTGGTAATTTGTGACCAAATGGTTTAATTGTTGTCTTATCTGAACATAAATACCATCTCCAAAAGATGGATCCTTTCAGACTAAGGTCATGTTAAATCAGGGGAGTCCAAAGTGTGGTTCTGGGGCCTTTTGTGGCCCTTGGACTGATTTTGTGCGGCCCCCTAACTGCAGTTAAAGAATGATATAAATTTAGCTCATCCAGCACAGGAGGTAGAAGAAGATTAAGACTTTTTATTTTTAACCAAGGAAAAATTACCAACATTATTTTGTCTTTTCATGAAGGCAGAGAAGAAAACCAAAAGGAGAAACAGAGAAAGCCAATGAAAATATGCTGCAGAGCGATGAGATCCGAGTTTAACACAACTGAAGTGAAACACATAAATCTACATTAAGCTCACTTTGTTTTTACCTTCAGTTCTGATCAATATGTCGTTATTCATTCAGGCTCAGCTCTGTAACTGTCGGCAGTAGAGAGGCTCCTCAGGTCAATACCTCCACCGGCTGCTTTCATTTCATCCTCACGCTGAAAAAGACCAGAAGTCACAAAAACATCTGAAGCCATGAGACAAACTAGATACAAATAAATATGACAAAATGTTTTGTTATAGTTTAGCATAATTAGCAGAATACCAGAGAGAAACTGTCAACCTTCCTTATCATGTGAAGGAAAAATTTATTTTCCTCAGAACGAAGCAGATTGATTGATGTTGATTAAAAATTTCATTATGAAATTACACTAATGACATGACGGAACCAGAACATCAGACTTACCTTTCAATTTGTTTTGATTTAGTTAGCTACTGATGATAACTGATGCTAACTCCTGCTAACGGCGTTAGCTCCTGCTACTGGTGTTAGCGAGTAGATCATAAGCTGATCACGTTAGTTTGTTTCATGTCTAGAGTTTAACAGCACATGAACATTTTGAGGCAGTTTTTCTGAACCCAGACTTTCTGTAGTCAACCTCAACATCCTGGACATTTTGTGTTTTGTTTGTTAGCTTCAGTCGACTGTAGCTCGGCTGCGTCATCGGCCGGCGCTCTGTGCAGGTGAAAAAATGGCGACCTCTGTTGGTGAACAATGTGATATCGATGTACGTTTTTAAAGTAACTGAGTTTTTATGCATCACAAACAACATTTTAGGTCAATAGGAGAATTACAACGTATTTGGCCGATATGTACAACTATTAATATATCCTTTAAAACTTCTAAAGTGAAATGAAAAGAGACAAAAGTGAACAGAGCACAGAACAGAAAAAATAACTTAGTAACTAATGGAAATAACCTGAAAATGACAAAACTTAAAAATGATTCCATCCATCCATCCATCCATCCATCCATCCATCCATCCATCCATCCATCCATCCATCCATCCATCCATTCATCCATCCATCCATCCATTCTCTCCTCAGCATGCTCTCCATCATCTTTTCATCCCTGAGTCTTACAGTCTCACTCTGAGTTGATCAAGAGTGTCGATTCTTTGCAGCTTTTTGCTTTTCACACCAGTGAGAAAAACAGCAAATAAATATTTCAGCTTTGCAGCAAACACAGCTGAGGACTTTCAGTATCTTGGCCTCCAAAGTTAAACTCCGCTGAGTCGGTTCTGCTCTCTTAAAGCCAAACTCTTTCTCACAGGGACAGTTTCACAAGGAAGAGGATGTCTCCTGGTGTGTCCAACCCTTCAAGTCTTTTTACCACAAACTTATTCAGCACACTTCCTGCTAAGGAGCTGTTGGTTTTTCCCACTTAATCATTTGTGCAGTTGGATAATTATATTGGATGTTTAAAGGGTTTGTTAAATCAAGCAGTAATGACAATAACATCAAAATCCAAATGAGACAAGAGATTAGAACAAATGCTGCCACAGTGAACATTTGAGGATGAAAAGGAAGAAAACTTTTGATTAAAAGAAAACACTCCCTCTTGCAAATCTACAGTTTTACATATCAGGTCCAGATTCTAGATTTGATAAATTTAGAAGAACACAGCAACGTTTCCACATTGTCTTTATTTATCAGACGGAGAAGAAGCCAAAAAGCAAAAGGTGACAGAAAAAAACCTCCTCCCTGGTTGCACAGGGTTTAAATGTGAAATGTATTCATTTATTTGGCGGGAACAACAACTAACATTCCTGTAAAATCACCAGAATTAGTCAGTTTTCTAATTTTCATTCATAGTCCCTGGACAGATAGAAAAAAATATCATACAATGACAAAACAGTTAAAATGAACTTAACTTGCAAATTCTGTCAATAAACACATAAAAATATAGTAAACAATACAATTATTAAAAAAGCAAAGTCAAATAGTTATGGGTTTGAGTGTGAAAGAGACATAGTGTGGTTCTCTTTCTCTCTGCTCTGAGTCAAACCAACCTGTTCCCCTCCTGGCCTGTGGGGGCGCTACACCGGGAACTACTGAAGGAAATGACACAAAAACCTCTGAAGACACTGAGCGCAACTTTCTTCTTCACCAAATGTAAAAAAAAAAATGGAGTGGCATCAAATTTTGTTGTATAATTTCTGTTTTGTCTTTGGCTAGCACATTTGTTTTGGTCGTATCTACCCAGAATGCCCTGCACTGTAGTCCACTTCCTGCTTTTGGAGCGGTCTCCGGTCCGCTTGGCATTCACACACGCATTCACACCGAACCAGAGTTCACTTCAACAGAACAAAGACAGAGGTTTGGAGGACCAGAGTTAGATTGGCATTCACACCTCACCAAACAAACCGGACTTTCTAAACAAACGAACAGGAGTCGGATAAAAGCGGATTAAACGTGACTGGTGTGAATACACCCCGAGTGTCCTTGACTTCAAAGTGGGGAACCAGTGGGTTTAATTCCAGTTTTCTGTGATTCCCGGCGATGTTACAGACGATTAACACGACAGCTCAAAGCCAAACATGAACTATCAGCAGCCAGAGGGCCGGGGAGCTGAGAGCAGCAGATTACCAGGGAGCGCGCTGAGGAGCGAGGAGGCAGGAGGAGAGGCATGGATAAAAAACAGAACGTATGGATGAGTCATCTCCCCAGCCAGGCAGGCAGCCTCTCAGATACAATGCCAGCACACTCGGCTGTTTGCTGCAGACTCAGATCGCTGTGTTGCCGTGGAGCGTGATCTCTCCAACATGCATCCGTCTGCAGAGAACGCTCCAACATCTTTAATCATCTGCAGAGAAGCTTACAAAGCTGCAGCACGCTCAACACACCAGTCCACTGTTTGCTTCTTCTGCTTGGCTCAAGACTTCAGCTCTCATCTGGTGATGCAACATACAAGACAGGGATTAACTGGGGACATATTTCAGCTGCCCAAACAAGCATCCTGCTCAGCTGAGTCACAGCAGCATGTCGTAATGATGGAAATTTGGGGCATGTTCTCATGGAAATAGATTTTTTCTTCTCCCTGAGCTCAGCATGCAGCTTCAACTCTGAGATCATGGCTCTAAATTGGAAAAGGGATTATATTCCCATTCCCGAATGGAAGTGACCTGAAGTTTAAGAACCTCAGGGGGACGAATTCATGAGTGGAAGTAGAGCTGAGATAGACGAGTCTGCAGTGATGTGAGCCGAGCGGCTTAACTACACATTTTTAGTTTGCTTAATATTTCTGTAACTTATCGGGGGAAAGAAAAGAAATTCTCTATGCCAACAAAATGATTCATATAAGATTTCCAATTCTCATTTATACAACAGTGTATGAGTTATTTAATGTATTTATGAATTGAATTTGAATTGAGAGGCACTGTAAATCGAAAAAAGGGAAGAGTAAAAAATCTTTTTTTCTAGAAAAAAACCCCAGTTGAAATTCTTTGAATAATCACAAATTTGTTTAAAAATATCAGAAATGCTCAAGAAAAAGTCAGACATTTCCAAAAGTTTAAATTTACTACTTTTCAAAGTAATTTTTTATATACTTGAGATTAACTTCAAAATTTAATTTCTGAGTGTTTTCTAGTAACCTTTCAAACTCAGAAATTTCCTTATTTTTCTAGAAAATATCTTAGCTTAATTTCTGAGCTTTTTGGTGGAAATGTACTTAAATATCTACAATGACCCTAACACGCCATCGTACATTTACTGCTATAATTCAGAATAGATTTGAACATGTCCCAAAATCTATTTTAATAACTAAAAAACAAATAAAACTAATCCGCTGGTTGTCGGTCTCTATTTTCTAACTCTAAGCGCGACGTTCTACTGTTGCCATGGAGACGGTAGTGGAATTTACGCATGCGCGGGGAGAACCAGAACAAACAGGACGCTAACTACACAAACGAAAGACAGATTCAACCGCCCTTCTTCGTCGAAGGCAAACATTTGGACTCATTTGGTTTTAATCACCGAATTCCCGGGAAGACCGAGCTGGATATGAGCTTCACCGTGTGCAAGGTCCGCGAAATGAAGATTGAAAACTTCGGGAACACCGGAGATACGTGGGGCAAAGCTAGCTACAGCTGAGCCAAGGTAGGCCATTCCTTCCGGTCCAGAGCTCTGAGAGGCGTGTTGTGATTGGTCAGACGTTTGTGGCGTGTTCATGCAAAAACGCGCTCAAACAGTAAAGTTGATATTCTACCTCAATTACTCCGCTAGCACTACCTGGTTTTTCTGTCCACAGGCGACAGAGTTACGCAGTAGGTATTATTTACATTTTCTGTGATTCTTCACTAAATAACTCAGACTGTTAAATGGCTCTTTTGGGTGGAAATGCAACGGAGTCGTTGTCTCTCTGTTACCGCTTCGTAAAAGCAAAACGTAGGGAGGAAGGAATCCAATAAGCGACCTGAGTCGACCTTGCTGTGAATTGGTGCAACAGTGAACTGAAGTGTTGAATGTATCTGGAGGTGGATCAGGTACCAAACAGGGAATAACATTAAGAAAATATGACTTTTCTATGAATAACCCCAAACATTTAATTTTTCACTGTGTACCATTACATTCCCCCATTCCTCCATCTGTCAGAAATGATCAGTCTAGTTCAGATTTTTATCCTCTAAAACAAATTAATTTCTCAAAAGCCAAACAGCATAAACTTATTTTTATGTTTGAATCACACACATGCAGGAAACATACATCAGTTTCTGACCTACAGAATCGGAGCAGAAGATTTAGAGAACTGTTCAGTGAAGGAGGATGATAACCTGCATGCTTCTAGTTTTTCTAGTCTGCCTGAAGACTTTGGAAAGTTTGAAATGAAGCTCATAACTTTTGGGTCGATGTTCACATCAAGCATCAGAACCCATCTACCATCTTTACGAGTCTCCTCATGTGAACCCTGCTGCAGTAAAACTTTTCCTTTTTCCTCCCTCTGCCACCATATTTCCTTTTCTGTCATCTGCAGCAACATTTTCTCTTTATCTGCTCAGACCGCGGCCGCCTGCCGTGAAGGTCATTTGCCACCTCATTTGTCAGGAGTCTGCCTACGTTTCACACCTCAGTACTTACAATTTCCCTCCTGCATAATGATTTGTTCTGTTATTTATGTTTGTTTGTTCAAACTGCGTCCGACTTGTGTGAGTAATAACTTTATCTTCTCCTCCGGCGAATGTTTCTGGTCCATTTCTCCGTCTGAAGATGAAGTCCTGAATGTAAAACAGAACAGTTACTTTAAAGAACCAGAAACTTAATTAAAAAGTTGATCAGATGTTTATATTTTCTACTTGGGCAGAATAATTCATCGCATTTTAACCAACCTGCTGCCAGGGCTGAGTAAGCTCTGCGCTGGAGGCAACATGAAGCTGTCACAGAATGTTAACTCTAGAGAAAATCATCACTTTGCTTAAAAATGGTCTGAAAATAGTTGCTGAAGGAAAAGTTCTAACTGCTGCAAAGAGACTTTCTGTTGGCGATAATACATGCTGTCATTCCTGCTGAACCCAATCTGCAGGACTATAAATAGTTTTATTAATGTTCGATTAGTTCAGTGCTTCAATTCTGTCATATTTTAACAAAATTATTCACATATTTATAAATGGCACAGTTCCAAACTAAATATTTAAGTCATAAACTGAACATTTATCAGGTAAACTATATATTTAGTTATAGGA